ACTCATAATGTCTTGTGTTGGATTATCAGCTGTTGCTTTTTTGTCTCTAGTATTCACATACTTTTTACCAACTCTGTACTCATTTTTAGTGTGTGAAAATACAGGGTTTTTAGGAGCACTGACTTCAGACTCAGAAAAATTGATGCTCTTTTCAGAGTTTGTGACATAATAAGATTTCAACTGTTGCATCTGTTGACTATTCACCATTGAGGGACATGTTAACAACCTTACCAATTCCACATTGCTTTCTTTGAGATTACGTACATCATTTCGTAACGATTCAATTTGCATAAACAGTGGCTCTATTGCCTTTGTAATAAGAATTTCGAACTGTGATTGCGGGATAAGTAATTCATCTGGTTGCGATTGAAGAACACTATTATCAAAGTTATCACTATTATCACAACAATTAATACGCGTTTCACTTATTGTTTTTACGTTTTTTAGTAGTTTAACACAGCTAGGGTGGCTTAGTGACCCACATTTAATACATGTGAGACCAGCTACCGGCATAATTTTGCACTTTTTACATGGTAATACGGGGAGACCCGGAGACACGTCTTTATTCTGCGACATCATACGATGGTATGATGGATGAAAAATTACGAAAAGTACGAGAAGGACGAAAAGACAAAAAAGGACGAAAATGTCGAAAAGGACGAAAAAGAACGAACAAGGACGAAAAGGACGAAAAAGATAACAAATTACGAAAAGGGCGAAGAAGGACGAAAAAGAATGAAAAAGGACGAATAGTATGAAAAATTACGAAGAGGACGAAAAAGGATGTAAAAGGACGAAAAGGATGAAAAGGACAAATAGGATGAAAAATTACAAAAAGGACGAAGAGGACGAAAAAGGAATGAAAAGGACGATAAAGGACGAAAAGATAAAAAAGAACGAAAAGGTCGAAAAGCACGATAAGACAAGAAAGGACGCAAAGGTCGAAAAGAACGAAAAAGGACGAAAATGATGAAAAATTACGAAAAGGGCGAAAAAGGATGTAAAAGGACGAAAAGGATGAAAAAGGACGAAGAGGACGAAAAAGGAATGAAAAGGACGTTAAAGGACGAAAAAGGTCGAAAAGGATGAAAAATTACGAAAAGGACAAAGAGAAGGAAAAAGGAATGAAACGGACGATATAGGATGAAAAAACACGAAAAGGACGAAAAGGATAAATATTTCGTAAAGGACGAAAGCGGACAAAGAGAATGAAAAATTACAAAAAAGACGAAAAGGTCGAAAAGGACGAAGAAGGGCGAAAAAGGTAAAAAGGACGAAAACGGGCAAAAAGGATAAAAAATTACGAAAAGGACGAATAGGACGAAAAGAATAAAATATTACGAAAAGGACGAAAACGGACGAAAAGGATGAAAAATTATGAACAGGACGAAAAGGATGAAAAAGGACGAGAAGGACGGAAAAGGACGAAAATGTCGAAAAGGACGAAACAGGACGAAGAAGGATGAAAAGGATAAAAAATTAGGAAAAAGGCAAAGAAGGACGAAAAAAACAAAAAAGGACGATAAGGATGAAAAATTACAGAAAGGACGAAAAAGTATGTAAAAGGACGAAAAGAACGAAAAAGGACAAAGAGCACGAAAAAGGACGAATAGGACGAAAAGGGAAGAACAAGGACGAAAAAGACGAAATGGGACGAAACAGGACGAAAAGGTCGGAAAGGACGAAAAGGACGAAGAGCACGAAAAAGGACGAAATAGGACAAAAAGGACGAATAAGGACGAAAAGGATAAAAAATTACGAAAAGAACAAAAACGGACAGAGGATGAAAAATTACATAAAGGACGAAAAGGTCGAAGAATGACGAAAGTATATAAAGTTACGAAAAGGGCGAAAAGGGACAAAAAGGAAAAAAAATACGAAAAGGACGAAAACGGACGACAAGGATGAAAAATTACGAAGAGGACGAAAACGGACGAAAAGAATAAAAAATTACGAAAAGGTCGAATAGGACGAAAAGAATAAAATATTACGAAAAGGACGAAAACGGACGAAAAGGATGAAAAATTATGAACAGGACGAAAAGGATGAAAAAGGACGAGAAGGACGGAAAAGGACGAAAATGTCGAAAAGGACGAAACAGGACGAAGAAGGATGAAAAGGATAAAAAATTAGGAAAAAGGCAAGGAAGGACGAAAAAGAACGAAAAAGGACGATAAGGATGAAAAATTACGGAAAGGACGAAAAAGGATGTAAAAGGACGAAAAGAACGAAAAAGGACAAAGAGCACGAAAAAGGACGAATAGGACGAAAAAGGAAGAACAAGGACGAAAAAGACGAAATGGGACGAAACAGGACGAAAAGGTCGGAAAGGACGAAAAGGACGAAGAGCACGAAAAAGGACGAAATAGGACAAAAAGGACGAATAAGGACGAAAAAGATAAAAAATTACGAAAAGAACAAAAACGGACAGAGGATGAAAAATTACAAAAAGGACGAAAAGGTCGAAGAATGACGAAAGTATATAAAGTTACGAAAAGGGCGAAAAAGGACAAAAAGGAAAAAAAATACGAAAAGGACAAAAACGGACGACAAGGATGAAAAATTACGAAGAGGACGAAAACGGACGAAAAGGACGAAAAGAATAAAAAATTACGAAAAGGTCGAATAGGACGAAAAGAATAAAATATTACGAAAAGGACGAAAACGGACGAAAAGGATGAAAAATTATGAACAGGACGAAAAGGATGAAAAAGGACGAGAAGGACGGAAAAGGACGAAAATGTCGAAAAGGACGAAACAGGACGAAGAAGGATGAAAAGGATAAAAAATTAGGAAAAAGGCAAAGAAGGACGAAAAAGAACGAAAAAGGACGATAAGGATGAAAAATTACGGAAAGGACGAAAAAGGATGTAAAAGGACGAAAAGAACGAAAAAGGACAAAGAGCACGAAAAAGGACGAATAGGACGAAAAAGGAAGAACAAGGACGAAAAAGACGAAATGGGACGAAACAGGACGAAAAGGTCGGAAAGGACGAAAAGGACGAAGAGCACGAAAAAGGACGAAATAGGACAAAAAGGACGAATAAGGACGAAAAGGATAAAAAATTACGAAAAGAACAAAAACGGACAGAGGATGAAAAATTACAAAAAGGACGAAAAGGTCGAAGAATGACGAAAGTATATAAAGTTACGAAAAGGGCGAAAAAGGACAAAAAGGAAAAAAAATACGAAATGGACGAAAACGGACGACAAGGATGAAAAATTACGAAGAGGACGAAAACGGACGAAAAGGACGAAAAGAATAAAAAATTCCGAAAAGGTCGAAAACGGAAGAAGAGGACGAAAAGACAAAAAAGGACGAAAATGTCGAACAGAACGAAAAAGAACAAAGAAGGATGAAAAAGATAAAATATTACGAAAAGAGCGAAGAACGACGAAAAAGAATGAAAAAGGAATGAAAACGACGTTAAAGGACGATAAAGGTCGAAAAGGATGAAGAGGATGAAAAATTACGTAAAGGACGAAAAAGAACGAAACAGGACGAAAAGACAAAAAAGGGCGAAAAGGACGAAGAGGACGAAAAGATAAAAAAGGACGAAAAGGACGATAAGACAAAAAAGGACCCAAATGTCAAAAAGAACGATAAAGGACGAAAAGGATGAAAAATTACGAAAAGGACGGAAAGGATAAAAAAGGACGAATAGGATGAAAAATTACGAAAAGGACGAAGAGAAGGAAAAAGGAATGAAAAGGACGACAAAGAATGAAAAAGGACGAATAAGGTCGAAAAAGATAAAAAATTACGTAAAGAACGAAAAAAGACGAAAAAGACGAAATAATTAAAAGGGACGAAAAGGTCGAAAAGGACCATAAGACAAAAAAGGACGGAAAGGTCGAAAAGAACGAAAAAGGACGAAAAGGACGAATAGGATGAAAAATTACGAAAAGGACGAAGAAGACGAAAAAGGAATGAAAAATTACAAAAAGGACGAAACAGGACGAAAAGACAAAAAAGGGCGAAACGGACGAAAAAGGACGAAGAGGACTAAAAAGGATGAAAATGGACAAAAAAGATGAAAGAGGACGAAAAGGTCGAAAACAACAAATAGGATGAAAAATTACGTAGAGGATGAAAAGGACGAAAAAGGGCGAAAAGGTCGAAAAGGATGAAAAAGGACGCAAAGGATAAAAAATTACTAATAAGACGAAAAATGACGAAGAGGACGAAGAAGGATGAAAAGGACGCAAAAAGACGAAAAAGCACGAAAAGGACGAAAACAGACGAAAAGGATGAAAATTTATAAAAAGGACGAAAAGGATGAAAAATTATGAACAGGACGAAAAGGATGAAAAATTACGAAAAGGACGAAAAAGGATGTAAAAGGACTAAAAGGACGAATAGGATGAAAAATTACGTAAAGGACGAAAAATGACGAAGAGGACGAAAAAGGATGAAAAAGGAAGAAGGACGAAAAAGACGAAAAAGGACGAAAAAAGACGAAACAGGACGAAAAGCTCGAAAAGACCGAACTAGGACGAAAAAGGACGCAAAAGGACGAAAAGGATAAAAAAAAGTACGAAAACGGACGAAAACCATGAAAATTTTACGATTTTTAAATTTTTCACTTGTGACATTTTTCAATTTTTCGTTTTTAATAATTTCATTTTTTAGTTTGATTTTCTCAATTTTGCGATTTTTGAGTTTCTCTATTGGTTTTGTTTCCATTTTTGGATTTTTAATTTTTCGCAATTTCTTTGATTTATTTTTACAATTTTACAATCTTCCAATTCTTAGATTTTTCAATTTGTCGATTTTTTTAAATTTGCAATTATCACTTTAATGATATATTGATTTTAAGTTTACATTTTCAATTTTTCAAGTTCTCTATCTTTAATTTTTTTTATTTTTTAATGAAATTTTGAATAACAGTAAACTAGGAGATTTTGGTTTAATCGTGTTAAAAAAAACACCCGACTCAAAAATTTGGCCGCCATTTTTACATCCATCTACGATTAAATTCAAACCCGGTTTTACTCACCGTTGATCGCCACGCACCCCGTGCCGTTCTTCTCGTACCCCTGCACGCACGAGCACTTGAAGGAGCCCACCGTGTTGGTGCACACCTGGGCGCAGGAGTCGTCGAGCTCGCACTCGTCGGCGTCGACGCACTTGTTCTTGTCGGGGCGCTGCCCGTCGGGACAGAAGCACCTGGGTCCCTCGTTCGTGGGCCTGCAGCCGTAGCTGCACTGCAGCCAGTCGCAGGACTCGGACCGGTCGGTGGCGTTCCTGCAGAAGTCCCACTCGTCGCTGTTGTCGGGACAGTCGCCGTGGTCGTCGCAGAACTTCGTCAGATGGACGCAGTGGAAGCCGTCGGCGCAGACCGCCTCGTTCCACATACACCTGACCTCCTTGGGGCACATGGTGGGGTGCTCGTCGGACATGTCCGGCCCCAGGTCGGGGGAGGTGCCGCAGTCCTGCTCCTCGTCGCATACCCAGCCGGACGGTATGCACTTTTTCGTGAGGGCGCACTGGAATTGTCCCTGCCGGCATTTGTGGTTTTGGGGGCACTCGAGGGGTTCGTCGCTGGAGTCCTTGCAGTCGGGGCGGCCGTCACAGAGCCCGTTGGACGGGATGCATTGGCCGTTGTTGCACTGGAATTGGTCGCTGGAGCAGGTCACCGCTGGCGCTGGAAGAAAGGGAAAATGAGATACTAAGATTTTTTTAACTGTAAATTGTAACTATATCGGATTTTGAGTACTAAGGTGGTTAATAAGGAATTTATCGGAAGTTTCTGAATATTATGATAAAAAGTTTTGAAATTTTTGAAAGAGGTAATGGGCTAAAAAATTTAATATTCAGGATTCGACAACGAATTTTCCGTAGATCTTAAGTCCCTAATGACTCATAGGTGTGATGAAGAAAAAGGAAACAAAAAACACACTTTTTGAATGGAAAGCCCTGAAAAATAATTTTTAATTGTTTTTTCAATTTTTCGATTTTTAGTTTCAATTTTGGAAACTTTTCAACCATAATTTGAGATTTCTCTGTTTTACAATATTTTGTAACTTTTCGTTTTTTCCAATATTTCGAATTTTTACAATTTTTCGAATTTTTACAGTTTTTTAGTTTCTCAGTTTTTGTTTTTGCAGATATTTTAAGTCGTTTTTTTTAATTTTTTTATTTCAAAATTTTCGACCATTTAATTTTACAACTTTGCAATTTTTCGATTTTCCAATTTATAGTTTTCAGAATTTTTTTCATTTTTTCAATTTTCCGATTTTTCAATTTTTAATTTTTCTATTACTCGAGTTTTCAATTTTTAGATCTTTCAATTTTTTCGATTTTATAATTATTCAATGTTATAAGTTTTCAATGTTTACATGTTCAGTTGTTTTGATTTTGCAATTTTTAATATTCCGATTTTTCAATTTTTGATTTTTCAGTTAGTCGACGTTTCAGTTTTTGCAATTTTTCAATTCCTCGATTTTTTATTTTTCAAATTTTCGATCTTCAGTTTTTCAATTTTGCAAGTTTTCAACCATCATTTTAGATTTCTCTGTTTTACAATTTTATAATTTTTAGTTTCTTCGAGTTTTTAGTTTTTTGGTTTTTTCAATTTTTCATTTTCACAGTTTTTCGATTTTACAATTTTTCATTATTTCGCTTTTTCAATTTCTCAATTTTTTAATTTTTAGTTTCTCGGTTCTATAATTTTCAGATATTTTAAGTCCTACTTTTTTTTAATTTTTCGATTTAAAAATTTTCCGTTATTTAATTTTACAGCTTTGCACTTATTCGATTTTTCAGATTTTTTTTATTTTTCATTTTTTCAGTTTTCCGATTTTAAGTTTTTCAATTTTGGAACTTATCGATTAAAATTTTTTGATTTTTCAGTTTTTTAATTTTTGATTTTTCTATTACTCGTGTTTTCAGTTTTTAGATCTTTCAGGTTTTTTCCATTTTACGATTTTTCAATCACTCGAGTTTTCAATTTTTAGATTTTTCAGTTTTTACAATTTTTCAATATTTCTACATTTCAAATCCTCATTTTTTTATTTTTCAAATTTTCGATTTTTGGTTTGTCAATTTTGCAACTTTTCAATTATAATTTTAAATTTCTCTGTTTTACTGTTTTATAGTTTTTGTTTTTTTCCAATTTTTCGAGCTTGCAGTTTTTAGTTTTTTCAATTTTTCATTTTCAGAGTTTTTCGATTTTAGAATTTTTCAATATCTGGAGTAAAAATTACTAACATCGTTAGATATTTTAAGTCTCGTTTTTTAAAATTTTTGAGTATTTAATTTTACCGCTTTGCAATTTATCGATTTTTCAATTTTATAGTTTTCAAATTTAATTTTTCTTTAAATATTCGGTTTTTCAGTTTTACAATTTTATATTTCGTTTTTTTCCAAAATTTCAATTATTCCATTTTCTAGTTTTTAGTTTTTGAGTTTTATTTTTCAATTTTTCGTTTCTAGTTTAATTTTTGGTTTTTCAATTTTGAATTTCAGAGTTTTTCAATTTTACAATTTTTCAGTGTTTCAGTGTTTAGTTTCTTAATTTTTTACTTTTAAATTTCTTGGTTTTTAGTTTTTCAATTTTGGAATTTCTCAATTAAAAATTACTGAAATCGCACTGAAAAATAATGTTGCGTTTACAATTTTTTAAATTTCCAATTTTTTATTTTTGTTTTTTTTTTAATAAATTTTGCAACTTCTCCATTAAAATTTTTCGATTTGTCGGTTTTACAAATTTTGGAATTTTTCGGTTTTTCCAATTTTTCAATTATTCCATTTTTTGCGTTTTTAGTTTCTGATATTTCCATTTTTTTATTTTTGTTTTTTTTTAATCAAATTTGCAACTTCTCCATTAAAATTTTTGGATTTCTCAGTTTTACAAACTTTGGAATTTTGCGGTTTTTCCAATTTTTCAATTATTCCTTTTTTTTATTTTGACTCTGATTTTTAATTCTACAATTTTTCGTTTCTAAAATTTGTAGATATTTTAATTCTTGTTTTTTAAAATTTTTCAGTTTTTCAATTTTACAGTTTTTCGATTTTACAATTTTTCAATATTTCGATTTTTCAATTTCTTGATTTTTTTGATTTTTGGTTTTTCACTTTCATTTTACCGCTTTGCAATTTTTCGATTTTTCAATTTTATAGTTTTCAGATTTAATTTATTTTAAATTTTCGTTTTTTCAATTTTCGGATTTCAAGTTTTTCAATTTTGCAACTTTTCGATTAAAATTTCTCGATTTTTCAGGTTTACAATTTTATAATTTTTCGTTTTTTCCAAAATTTCAATTATTCCATTTTCTAGTTTTTAGTTTTTGAGTTTTATTTTGCAATTTTTCGTTTCTAAAATTTATAGGTATTTTGATTTTTGGTTTTTCAATTTTGGAATTTCAGAGGTTTTCAATTTCTTGGTTTTTAGTTTTTCAATTTTGGAATTTCTCAATTAAAAAATTGCTAAAATCGCACTGAAAAATACAATTTTTTAAATTTCCATTTTTTTTTATTTTTGTTCTTTTTTTTTTTTAATCAATTTTGCTACTTCTCCATTAAAATTTTTGGATTTCTCAGTTTTACATATTTTGGAATTTTTCGGTTTTCCATTTTTTCAATTATTTCATTTTTTGAATTTTTAGTTTCTGATTTTTATTCTACAAATTTCGTTTCTGAAATTTGTAGATACTTTAATTCTTGTTTTTAAAATTTTTCAATTTTAGTTTTTCGATTTTAGAATTTTTCAATTTTTGATTTTTTAATTACTCGAGTTTTCAGTTTTTAAATTTTTCAGTTTTTTCGATTTTACAGTTTTTCAATGTTTCGACTTTTCAATTACTCGAGTTTTCATTGTTTATATTTATCAGTTTTTTTTCTTGATTTTGCAATTTTCAATGTTAGGATTTTTCAATTTCTTGATTTTTTTGATTTTTGGTTTTTCACTTTAATTTTACCGCTTTGCAGTTTTTCGATTTTTCGATTTTCGGATTTAAGTTTTTCAATTTTGCAACTTTTCGATAAAATTTTTTCGATATTGCAGTTTTACCATTTTATAATTTTTCGTTTTTTCCAAAATTTCAATTATTCCATTTTTTAGTTTTTGAGTTTTATTTTGCAATTTTTCGTTTGTAAAATGTATGGATATTTTAATTTTTGGCTTTTCAATTCTTGAATTTCACAATTTTTCGATTTTTAATTTCTTATTTTTTCACTTCTCAATTTCGCGGTTTTTAAAATCAATTAAAAATCTCAATTAAAAATCACTAAAATCGCACTGAAAAATAATGTAGCATTATTTAATTTAATTGCCTTTTAATTTTATTTTGCAATTTTTCTTGTCTAAAATTTCTAAATATTCTTGTTTTTTAAAATTTTTTGATTTCTAAACTTTCAATCATCTAATTTTATAACTTTACTTAAATTTTTAAATTGCCATTTTTTTTATTATTATTTTTTTTAATCATTTCTCCATTAAAATTTTTCCATTTCTGAGTTTTACAATTTTGGAAATTTTCGGTTTTTCCAATTTTTGAATTATTCCATTTTTGAATTTTTAGTTTCTGATTTTTATTCTACAATTTTTCCATTTTTTAATTTCACAGTTTCTCAATTTTACGATTTTTCAATTTTTGATTTTTTAATTACCCGAGTTAATTGTTAATTTTTTAAATTGATACTAATAATAAAGGCTTTATTTTCCAACGGATACGTGTCCACCTAGAAACAAAAAACCAATAAATAAACAAAATAAGGGAGAAAGTTTTGCTTTTCCATCTTTTAATTTTACAACGTCGCAATTTTTAAATTTTACAGTTTTTTCATTTTCGGTTTTTTCAATTTAAAATTTTTCGATTTTTCATTTTTTCAATTTCCCGATTTCTCAATTTCCCGAAAATTACCGCGAAAAATGACAAAAAACGTTGATAAATGATTAAAAAAAATCCAAAGTGCCAAATAATAAACTTTTTTTGAAAATTCGAAAACACCACAATGTTTCACGAATTTCCAATCGACAGCAGTTTTGGTTAAAGATTTCAAAATCGGCAAGAGAAAACGAGAAAATGAACGCTTTTGGAAAATTTAAGTCCCTCAAAAACAATATAAAAGTTCACAACAGAACCACAACTTTTTTTTTGAAAATTTTGAATTTTTGAAACCTGTGAGAAAAAAACTGAAACTCTAGTCCGCCAGAGCTTTTCTTAAATTCCGAAGTTTCTTGTCCCGGATCTCCAAACAAAAATGACAAAACCTTGCCCAAAATCTAAATCCATAATTATTCTACCGCTCACCTCGAAATAAACAAAAACAAACCTCTTTTTTACTACGTACTATGTTCAGATTATTTTTGCGTCACTCGCTTGCGGTAGAAGCGCCATCAACACATTATTATTAGCAAAATTCTTTGTTTAAATGCACCGTGACGACAAATTAATTTCCAGAACTAGTTAGCAATTAATTAATATTTATATATTCTGTCGCCGATTGGAAATTAAACAGCTCCATGCATGCAGTGATTCACTCCAACAGTTAATATTTTGGAATATTTAAAAAACCTCGGCTTCGCCTCGGTCTCCAAAACGGCATTCAGTCACAAGCACATTCCTTCGTACGCAATATTTGATCAATCAGTAACAATTGCTTTTTACGCACCACAAACCCTAGCAATACTGTACCACACTG